ATATATATATATATATTATATATATATATATATTATATATATATATATATATAATATATATATATATAATATATATATATATATATATATTATATATATATATATATATATTATATATATATATATTTTTTTATATAATATATATATTATATATATATATATATATAAATATAATACATATATATATATATATAAATATAATATTTCCTTTTAACGAATATATATAAATATAATACATATATATATATATATATATATATATATATATATTTGGGCCCTGATGATCAGTGATCAGCGTTCTCACCCTTGATGCCACAGATTTCGAGAGTTCGATTCCCGGAGGTACCCTGGTTGTTTGTAGTGGTCCGGGATCCACTTTAAACCGTAAATTCCGGTCTTATATGTTTGTTGGGCGTAGGACTGACAGCCCCACCCCGTAAAAAAATCTCGTAATCTGCTAGTAGACATATGCTTCGACCCACCATGGTGCGGTTCCGCTAATAAAGAATATATATAAAGTTATATGCATGTGTAGTCAAAAATCAGAGGTATCTTCTCTCTAAAGGCAGAGCGCTTTGCGCGCATGCAGTTTAAATCCGATGCATTTATGATGTTGAGCTCCCCAGACACTTCTGAAATCAGACACGGTGGCGAATAAGAGATAACTTCGCACTCACTAGATACACGATCATACACTCGCAAGTGATTGTAAGCCTACAAGTCTTTGGCTTACTGTCAAGTATCATTACCCTCTGAGGTACGCATACCCCACTATAAAGACCACTGATCTAAATGACTTGAAAGCAGTTGTCAGGGATGTAGTAAATAAGAATAAAACGTACAGAGAAACTGAAGAAGCTTGTGGTGCTCCATTATCTGTAATACATTATAGAATTAAAGGAAGAAAGTGCAGTATAAGTAGAATGGAGGGCAGAAGTATAAGTAGAATGGAGGGCAGAAGTATAAGTAGAATGGAGGGCAGAAGTATAAGTAGAATGAAGGGTTTTCCCTTGTGATATGCAAGAACTAAAAATACTTGTTCAACAATTCATTGATGCTACTGGACTTCAGACCAAATCTCCAAACGAGCTGTCAGTGTTTGACTGAGTGGTACCAAGGGCTTATGAAAAAACATCAATCATTGCCTTTAAAACAAACCAGAGCATTTACAGAAATCACGAAAACATTATTTACATTTACTCTAAATGATCTTATATAGTATTTGTTCATGAAAGCAAATTTAATATATTCGGAGCTGGTGATCCCATAATGGTTTGGAGAAGATAGAGAAAAGAACTCCAAAAAGAGAAATTTATTTCTAATCGTTCAACAAGGCGGCAGAGGAGTTATGGTGTGGGAATGCATGTTATTATTAACATGAAATTAAATCTGCAAAAAACAGGATTAGTACCTATATATTTTAAATATAAAAAATCTTGTTGAACTTTAATATATCTGTGAAAGAATATATTGATACCCTATAAATTGATTAAAGGGGTACTGGTATATCGATTAAATACTTGTCTACATTTCTCAAAACTATTACACTCAAAATTGTCCACATTTCGCGCATGCTCATTAAATCGAATTTATTGCGATGTTCGAACTATTTTGCAATGAGTTTTGTTTAGATATTTTCGATATGTTTTTAATATGTTTAAATATGTTATATATATTTTAATATGTTTAAATATGTTATATATATTTTAATATGTCAATATGTTTCTCAATCTGCCAGCAGGCAGACGATCTTGGTTCACAATGGAGCTGTTGCGCCAATCATGATGATGAATATGTTTCTCGTCAAGATTAATAAAAAAAGACATTAAATCTGATACCATAACTATTTTTAGAGGACATCCATTTTTGAAGTCATCAAAATAATGCAATTTTAGTTATGTATCCATGTTAAATGCACTGGCAAGAGCGTCCTCTGTGGTGTTCAGGAGAAATGGTTAGTTGGCTTGCAGACTCTCACTCGAAGAGGAAGTTTATTTCGCGCACCCTGTGCGTAGCTGAGTATCGGGTTTTTGTCTTAGACGTGGAATCCTTCCACGAATCTATAATTACCTGTCTTTAAATGTGTTGAATATTGTATGTCTCTAATTGTATATGCGGGGCGTTTGAGAGTGTGTAAATAAAGCTGTGAGTTCTTCAACTTGGGCCTCAAGTATCTCAATCCAACCACACTCAATTACAATCTGGTTGCCCAATCTGCACACGACAGTTTTATAAATGTAATGCGATTTAATGTTAGCAAATTAACGTTACCATTTTTAATCAAAAAGTTGAAAGTTAAAAAAAAAAAAATCTTTAAGGTTGGTTTTTCTGCGTTTCCCAAACACACAACTGTAGTTATTTTATATAAATACAAACTATTTAATTGTTATTAAAATTAATATTTCGCTCTTTTTGGTAATTATTATTTTAATATTTAAAAAGGTAGATTCGTATAATTTTTTTTTCAATTTTGAAATGTAATTTTAAGACATTATTTTAATGAAGAAAATAATAAAAATTTATTTATTGAATGATTCGACTAAAGAAATACAAATATAAATACATTTTTAATTGAATGAAAACTGTTTAATGATTAAAATAAAGACATTGTAAGCCATAAAAAAAAAAATAAAATAAACCAGCTTAACTTATGTTTTATTCTTCTGATACTATAATTTTAAACTTTTCATCTGCTACTCGTAATTCGTCCAAAAGTATTTACTGGGTCACTTTTCACCGCAAATTTACGACTTTTATCCTTTTAGGACTCTCTCTCAATCTAAAAGAAGCCAAAGAATTTCTTAACTCGATTATTACGTAATTCTCAAGCTGTTCAATCTGGTTTTTACTTTTTATGAAAAAAAAGTTTCTTATCTCATATCGTTAAACATTAGATATTGTCAAGGAAGAGTAACACTTAAAAGCTATCTCAGCACTTAACTATCCAGGCAAAAATTTAAAGAAAAAAATAAATAAAAAGAAATTAGATGAGAACAAACACAAGTACCGAGTAAGCAGTAGACTGCAAGAATATATCAGTATTTACATTTATCATATCAGAAAATGGTTGGGAGGAATGAATAATTATTTGAAAGTGAAAAAATGATAAAAAAAATAAATAAATAAAAATAAAAATTATAATCGGCTGAGCGATATACAGATAAATAAAATTTAGAATTTAATGTAAAAAACATAACAACAATCTTAAAAAATATAAAGACTATAGAATTCCAAATGATTTTCTTTTCTTGAGTAATTTAATTTTCACTTTGAAATAAAATTAGTATCTTTTACTTTCATCAGACGATCTTTTAGAAAAATTTTACATTTATTTTTCTTCTGAATTAACTTTTTTACTATTTATTTAATAATTATTCCATTATTTTGTAAATAAATATTATGTATGAAAAAACTCGCTACACTATAAAAAAATCAAAGAAAATAATTGTAATCGCATGGGTCGATATACAGATTACCCATAAAATTTAGAATTTAATGTAAGAATAAAAAGCATAACATCACTCTTAAAAAATAAAAAAATTACAGAATTCCAAACGATTTTTTTTTCTTGAAAAATCCCATTTTCTTTTGAAATAAAATGGTCTTTGCTTTCACCAGACGATCTTTTTAGAACAATTATACATTAAGTTTTCTTCTGAATTTTTAAAATTTTTAAAGTTAATTTTTAAAATCTCTTAAAATATTCCATTCTGTATATTATTTTTAGACATCTATTTTATTAATGTAATTCTGAATGCAAATTGTTACAAAATAATATTCATTGTTAAAAACTATACATTTTTGCGTTCCATTTCATTTTTTTAATTTATCGATATATGTAGATCGATTTATTAAAATTGTTTTCTTTTAATAAATTATTTGTTTTTAAGTAGATAGCAGTTATTAATTTGCAAATAGAAAGTATTTTCTGATTATTAGCAACATTAAATTTTGGCAGCAAATTAATATCCAATTATATATATCTGAACAAACCGTTTAAAATTTGAATTATAATTTTTGATAGCCCCTTATATTATATCCATTTTTAAAACTACCTCATTGTGGAATTTAAGTTGATTTTATATTCCACGAAGAAATAATTTATTTTCTGTTTTCTTTAATATTAAAAAATATAAAAAATAATTATTTTCTATTATATTTATTAAAGGAAAGCTAGAATAGCATTTTCAAATTATATTAATCAGTTTAGAATAAATAATAACTATGCATGGGTACATAATACAAATGATTTGAATTTATTTATTATCATTAATCTGAAGCATTGCTAACAATATGATTTTATCAATAATTTATTTATAAAGATTTTTCTCTTTTTGCCAAATTGTTTAATAATTACTTAATTATTTCATAAATAAATATTATATGTAAAAAGTTTGTTACACTACAAAAAACCAAAGAAAACAATTGTAATAGGATGGGCCGACATAAAATTAATAAATATTACGTATAAAGAAGCTCGTTTAAGAAATTTAAAAAATATATATTACAGATTTTAGTGAAAATGTTCGCAAATTGAAAGTGGTCAAGGACACGAAAAATCTTGCTCCCCCAAAATATATTATATTTTATACGTTAAAAAAAAAAATAATAAATAAAATAAAACAAGAGGATTTAGAATATCCAAATTTTGGCTTGATAATCTTTAATTGTTTTAAGTATTTAGATAAAGGATATGTTTCATTATACTATCAATAAATATCAAACTGCCTAATCCTGATGTTAACTGAACTTCTAAGCTATGCTACTGTTATACTTAAGTTCTCGGGGTTAAGATCCTAATTTTTTTAATTCTCCGTATATTTTCTCCATATATTTATACGCCCATTTGAACCAAAAGTATTAAATTTGCTTTCATCATAAAATAAAACATGATATAAAACATTCCAATATGCTTCGAACTTATCAACTTTATAAATGCACTCGCATTTCTAATCTTAGACTATTTAGATAAGGAAAAATTTCAATGGTTGGTGCAATGTGCCGAAATAGCTCAGTTGGGGGAGAGCGTTAGACTGAAGATCTAAAGGTCCCTGGTTCGATCCCGGGTTTCGGCAGTTGGTCCTTATCCTCGGTAGTATAGTGGTAAGTATCCCCGCCTGTCACGCGGGAGACCGGGGTTCGATTCCCCGCCGGGGAGGACAATATTTTTATGTTGTACTTCAATAATTTTTAATATTACTTTTAAAAAACATAAAATTTTTATATATAAAAAATAATATATATTTAAAATTTTATTATATAAATTTAAAAATAAGAATAAAATTGTAATATTTAGTTAATTAAATATTCTATTTTTTACGAAAAAATGCATTCTTTCAGTGTATTGACGTTATTTTTCTTCACATACGCTGTCATCTTCATTGCAGTTTTCTTTGTTATTCAGATTTAATGCATTAGAGCAATATATAATATAGAAACTTCATTGTCAGCAGCTAGATCGTCATTAGCTCTCGCATAGAGATTTTCATTAGGTATTTCAGGACCACATTTCAGCAGGTTTTGTGTGCAAGTTGAGACAAAGGAATACTTTTATCAGCTTCTTCTGATAAATATTTCCTTTTCTAGAAGATTACTGAAACCAACATGTCGAAAGAAATTTTGAATATTCTTCTGGAACAAGATATTCCAACTGTAGTCTATATGTGAAAAATTGCATTTAATGCATACATTTGACATTTTCTTTTTGAACATATATGTACATATAATGCATATACAGTCTGAGTAAAAACTTTAAGGCCAGTAGACATTTTGAGAAAATGGAAACATTTAAACTGAGGAATTAAAATACCCTTTGATTGATAATTATTGAGCTTAAATAAAAGTAAAAAGTAGAAAAATTAATTTGCAAATATTTTATTAAGAAAATATTACAGACACACAGATGAATATTTGAGCCTGAGTAAAAACTTTAAGGCCAACATAGAAAATTACATATTACAAATTCTTTAGAAGGTTGTGTAGGAGCCATTACTTCGAATTACTTCAAATATTCTTGTTTTCATGGATGAAACGAGTTTTTGACAAAGGGTGGGTTCGGTTTTATACCATTCATCTGCGATAGTAGATTTCAGCTCTGTTGTTGATGTAAAATGTCTCCTATTTGCATAAACTCTTCTTGCTAAGTCAGCCCAAAGGTTCTAGATTGGGTTGAGTTCAGGTGATCTAGCTGGCCATTTCACAGTTTCAACATTGTTGACTTGGAACCAATTTTTTGTGCTGTTACTCGAATGGATAGCATTGTCTTGCTGATATCCAATTTTCTCCAGCAAGACATTTAGTATTGCCAAAAGATGAGATATCTTGTGAATTCATTCTACCTGAGACGAATGCATTTGAGTCCACACCATTTAAGAAAAACAGCCCCAAGTCATGACAGACCCTCCACCAAATTGGCGCTTGGAGAATATTTCTTTTTCATTTCTTATATCATGCCAGTAGATATTCCAGCCATCTGGTCCATCCAAATCATTTTTTTTCGTCAGAAAAATAATTTCCATCCATTGGTTGTCCCAGGTCATGACTTTCTGGCTAAAGTTCAAACGCTCTATTTTTGTGTCTCTGCAGTAACTGAGGCTTAGTCAATTTTGCTGTGTAAGTGTACCTTCCAAACCTTCTAATTGTGTTATAAATCGTTTTTGACAAACTTTTAAACCTGTCGTCGGAATCAGTTTCCTGGTTGAGTACTTTCCAGTAGATGCAAGTTGGCAAACTCTTCTTTCATCACGCGAGGACAAAGCTTTAGGTCTTCCCCCAGTATTCTTTTTACCATAATTGTCTTTCAATTTTAAAACATGACTACAGTCTTTGATCTTCCTATCTTTATCGCAATAGCACGACTACTCATTCTTGTTGAAGTCAAAGCTTCGATCTGTCCTCTTTTCACGATCAGTTAACTTCTTACCCTTCGCCATCTTCACAAAGATCACCAATACTTCGAAGAAACGTGTGACAAATATGAAAATTGCAGCGTTGTCACAAGCTAGTAGTTGCAATGGTAATTACACGATTATATTTATTTTTAAAAATGACTGGTGGCCTTAAAGTTTTTACTCAGGCAGAAATACTAACTTTGTAAATATGTTTCTCATAATTATGTATTTACAAATTATGTTTATAGCATTTATTTCTTATCAATGAACATTAATAATTAATATTATTTGAATCCCTTTTTATTTCATTTTACATTTTCTCAAAATTTTTACTGGCCCTAAAAAGTTTTTACTCAGGCTGTATTTAGCAGTAATTGCAGTTTTATATAGCAGTAATTGTATTAGAGATCATTAGAGATAATCAGTAATTGTATTAGAGATGATAAGGTTATTTTTGGACAGCATATTTTAGCAGTAATTGCAGTATTAAGCAATAATAGCAGAGATAATTAGAGATAATCAGTAATTGCTAGAGACCATCAGAGATCATTAGAGAAAATCAGTAATTGTATTTTTCATCAGAGATTATTAGAGATAAGTCTAGAGATCATCGAAATCATTAGAGATAATCAGTAATTGCATTAAAGATCATCAGCGATCATAAGCATTATGGATCATTATATTTAGCAGCATTATACAGCAGTAATTGCATTAGAGATCATCAGAACAGAAGCTATCTACAGTTAACATTAAAATTTCGGATTTCTTTGATCTAAAGACTGTGATAATCATGTACTGTTTTGAGGAAGGAATGCAATACTACAACTTTCCTATTTTATTTTTAAAAATATCAATCCTGTCTCATAACTGCTTTTATCTTATATGTCTACTGTCATCTGTTAAAGATTTGCAATTTTCGTAACATCCAGGCATAAAATGTTTCAATCACATGGGCATCAGTTTCTCAGATTTATACATATTTGCTCCTAACATTAATCATAAAAGGAGCTTTATTTTTTTTTCCTCTATGCATTTTTTCTTGCTTTAAACGAAAGGTTTTAACCATTTAAGATCTTAAAAAGAGTCTATATTATCAACGTTGAGAACATTGTCAGGTTCATAACTTTGAGAATGTTCTGCAGTACTAATCCTAAAAAAAAGATACCTACTGGATCAATATTTGTGAAGAAAGTTAATCGATATATTATATTTCGATGTAATTCTTCTTTTTCAGATAATATAACTTTTAATAGACAATTTATGACCATGAATAGAAAAAGTGTGATCCATTTTATTGTTTATTTTAAGATTTGTGTTTTATTAACGTTATTCCGTCGTACAGGATTTATTTAGAATATTAAAGGTTCGATGCATGCATTAACGCCAACGCTCTTTGAAATAAATTAATAATAGTTCAACTATTTTTGTAGTTTTATTTAAGCTCTCGAGGTCAATATGAGGGTCTCATTTTTACTTTTGTTATCTACCTAACAAAGGATGTGCCGAAATAGCTCAGTTGGGAGAGCGTTAGACTGAAGATCTAAAGGTCCCTGGTTCGATCCCGGGTTTCGGCAGGTGTCCATTATCCTCGGTAGTATAGTGGTAAGTATCCCCGCCTGTCACGCGGGAGACCGGGGTTCGATTCCCCGCCGGGAGGATGTTTTTTTTTTTTTTAAGCAAATTGTCCTATATTTTTTAATTAATTATTAGCGTTTAATTGATTGTCGCCTTTGAATTTATACATAATGTAATAAAATGAAACTTAAAAAAATAAAGAAAAAATAAAAAATAAAGAAAGAAACCCCATATTAATAAATAAATAAAAATAAAAAAAATTCAGAAAAGTTATTTATTTTGAAACAATATCAAAAAAAAAATGGTAAATAATTAAAATTATTTTTTTATAGTACAATAAATATTTTCTAAAAGTATCGAAATAATTTGCAATATTTAATTTAATTAATACGATAAATTTAAATCAATAAAATATATGCTTATATATTTATATATGCTCGAATATATATCAAATATGCTTTTGCTCAAATTTTTAAACATTGGCGAATCGATTTTTGACCCTTATTTTTAAATTATTTACAGTGGCTCCCAAAAGTCTTCTAACACACAAATTTCATGCTTTATCCGTTAATAAAAATTATTATTTCAGAATGACAATTTTACAATAGTATTTATAATTGTTTCTTAGCAAAACTACATTAAACATTTTAAGAACATATTAAAACTTTTTTTTTTTTAAATTCAAAAAGGAACAAAAATTTTACCTCACGAAGGTCTTCGTAGTAAACTATGTAGCAGTAGTATCAAATTTTCTTACATTGTTTTCGATCAAATTTTCTTCTTTAAACCGTTTTATCATATACAGCTCTGTAGAATGAGGTAAATTTACTAATTTATTTATATTCTTAACTAATTTACCACTACTATGATGAAAAATAATCGATTTTGATATGCTCTTCGTTATTCTCTAATAACTATAAGCCAATTTTTAAATAATAAATAGAATAGAACGAAATAAACAAGCAAACGATTTTTAAATGTCACCAAAATGTGATAATAAAAAAGCTACAGATAACTATTTTATTTACGAATTTATCCGGAAATGTTTCAATGAACGATAAATATTTGTTGTTGTTTTTCCCTTGGAGTTTCATTTTTATAAAAGAAAATGAATCAATATTTTTAAAAAAACTGTTCGTTTTTATTTAAAATCATACGAAGATGATATGAAAATATTGTACTTTATATATTCGAATTCAGTTCCAGGATTCCACATTCAGTTCCACATTTCCTACAAAATTTTTAAAGTATATAAACACTTTTGGTGGTCTCTGTATTTTTACATTTTTTAAAAATATGTATATCTTAATTAAATAACCTTAATTAATTTTCGTTAAATTTAATTTAAAAAATCTACAAAGGAATTCAGAGAAAATTATCACAAAAGATAAATTTTATTAGAACAGCATTGAAAATAAATAAATAATTAAATAAAGCAATTAAATAAAAAACGTAAAAAAAAAAAAACCATAATAAAAATAAAATAATAATTATATATGATCGTAAACACAATTTTTTTATTATTTTAACTAATAAACTAATTTAACTAATTATTTAAATTTTTTTTTTATATTACTTAAAAAAATAAGAAATTATTTTTCATCTCGTTT